CGTGTCCCCGTGTACTTCACATTGAGCTTGTGGTGTGTCCCGTGTACTTCACATTGAGCTTGTGGTGTGTCCCCGTGTACTTCTCATTGAGCTTGTGGTGTGTCCCCATTTACTTCTCATTGAGCTTGTTGTGTGTACCCATGTATTTCACATTGAGCTAGTGGTGTCCCCGTGTACTTCACATTGAGCGTGTGTGTCCCCGTGTACTTCACATTGAGCTTGTGGTGTGTCCCCGTGTACTTCTCATTGAGCTTGTGGTGTGTCCCCGTGTACTTCACATTGAGCTTGTGGTGTCCCCGTGTACGTCACATTGAGCTTGTGGTGTCCCTGTGTACTTCACATTGAACTTGTGTGTCCCCGTGTCCTTCACATTGAGCTTGTGTGTCCTAGTGTACTTCACATTGAGCTTGTGGTGTGTCCCCGCGTACTTCACATTGAGCTTGTTGTGTGTCTCCGTCTACTTCACGTCGAGCTTGTTGTGTGTCCCCGTGTACTTCTCATTGAGCTTGTGGTGTGTCCCCGTGTACTTCACATTGAGCTTGTGGTGTCCCCGTGTACGTCACATTGAGCTTGTGGTGTCCCTGTGTACTTCACATTGAACTTGTGTGTCCCCGTGTACTTCACATTGAGCTTGCGTGTCCCCGTGTACTTCACGTTGAGCTTGTGGTGTGTCCCCGCGTACTTCACATTGAGCTTGTTGTGTGTCCCCGTCTACTTCACGTCGAGCTTGTTGTGTGTCCCCGTGTACTTCACATTGAGCTTGCGTGTCCCCGTGTACTTCACATTGAGCTTGTGGTGTGTCCCCGTGTACTTCACATTGAGCTTGTGGTGTGTCCCCGCGTACTTCACATTGAGCTTGTTGTGCGTCCCCGCGTACTTCACATTGAGCTTGTTGTGCGTCCCTATGTACTTAACATTGAGCTTGTCGTGTGTCCCTGTGTACTTCACATTGAGCTTGTCGTGTGTCCCCGTGTACTTCACATTGAGCTTGTGTGTCCCCATGTACTTCACATTGAGCTTGTGGTGTCCCCGTGTACTTCACATTGAGCTTGTGGTGTCCCCGTGTACTTCACGAATATTTCTATCAATGATTATGTTAAATAATATTGATTCAAACCTCAATACACAATTACGTGACCCGTCTACAAGGTAGTCTATAATAACAGCAGACGGCATATGCTCACTCGAAAAACTGTTGATCTACAAAGTTCACAACAGGTGCTTTTCTGATAAGAGGTTGGTTTTCGTGATTCGAACAAATTTCACTGACTGGCGGTCATTTTGTTATCGTTTTTTACATATTGTTCTCCTTATTCTCAGATACACTTTTACAGATTTATTTAATCTTAGTACATAGAGAGGATAAAGAATGATACATCAGAGCCAATTGTTTGTGATGCAATTCAATTCGGCCGGCCAACGGTCAATTTTGATGAAAAAGCGCTAAATCACCATTGTTAGGTGTCAGCAGCTTTTGATCAAAGTTGGTGTGATGATTGGTATTGGTGCACGTCATTTTTTTTCGTGATTCGAACAAATTTCGCCGACTGGCTGTCATTTTGTTATTTTTTACATGTTGTCACGTTTATTTGTTTCTGATTCATTACCTCTGATGGTACATGGCATCTGGAGAGAAATTTTCAAAACTAACTTACAGACAAGAATATATATATATATAATGTGTTAATAAAGGGGGTTGTTGTTAAATTATTTCTTCTTTTTATTCTAAGAATAAGCATTTTTTAAAACATTTTTTTTGTAAATAATAAATAAATGAATGTTGATTGTATGATGTCATCATATTTTACCTCGTACTTGGATCGTCATCTGTTTCTGTGTCTGTGTTGTTTGTGAATACATATGTTGCAATGGTGCATGCCGGCTCAAACACCAATACGTGTTAAAGTTCGTGGTAAATAAGAGCACGTGCGTGCGCCATATTGATGGTAGTCTGACAAGGTCGCGTGATTTGCGCCCTCCGCGGTGCTCCAAATCCAACACATGCCTGACAGAATGATGTAGTTTTTCACTTCTCCGACGATTTTTTGTCGGTACAAATCAAATTGCAGGAACGTCAGATAGTGACAGCCATCACAGAGAAACCGTTCACGGCAGAGTTTATTTGTTGACATAATGTGTGATATGGTGCCGGCAATTTCCGCCGAATGTTTATCATCTTCTTGAAAACAGTCTGTGATTTTTGCCGACAATGCAAACACAGCTTTGTCTCCCTGGTTACGAGTGAGCGTCTGCACAGAAAAAAACACAGTCTGTTGTTGCTATTGCGTGATTCGGACTTCATTTCTATATTCTAAGCTGTCCTCGAAATATTCTCGGAAATAATCATAATATTTGGTCATGGATGTTGTCAACTCAAATTGCAGTAAGAATTGCAAATTCAATTGAAGTCTGAATAGAAACGTGACATCGAATATCTAAACGCCCATTGCTATCATATATAATGTTACAGTTTGAGTATCTCTGTAATATATACTACAACTAACCCACCCTGAGAGAAGTGGTAATCATTTATAATTAAATACCAGCAGTTAGTGACAATTACAATCCCATACATTACATTTCAGAAGAATATTTGTAATACACGATAACTCACCAGACGTGGTATATATAACCATAGCAAAACTGCATCTGATACTTATCACCAAGTCTGCAGAATTGCATATTATTTAGATGACTCACAATAGTAACTAATTACTGATTAAATAAAGAAATTGTACTTGTCAAGATAAATAAAGTGAAAGAGTTCGATTTATTTCATCTTTGTGATTATATTTCTGTGTGATATATTGTGAGCCTGAACTTGAAAGCCTTGTAAACATGGAAACATTTGTAAAGCAAAACAAAGTGTCACAATGAGCAGTTATTACTCTATAACATTGCATTTGTTATTTTGTTATATTTGTCATTCTGGAGAACTAGTACACCATAGAATGCGTTTACTCGAAAATGAAGAAAAAAAATCCAGACTATTATTTTAGATTAACAAAAAAAAATATAAGATTTATTCATTACTATAAAACGATATAGGATAAGAACAACGGTCATCAAGTTACCTGGCAACGATTTCCAATAGTATCCAATGTAAAGATGAGTATATCAACACATCCGGGTGTGGCTGCGTGGCTCTCAAGCCCCGTAGCTTTTGTGTGATTTTGAAATAGATTAGTTCATTGGCGGATGTGACGGGCCTGGATGGTCATGATATTATTGGGGTTCGTTCGTGGAGATCGTTAACAAATACGTCCCGACAATTTGTCGAGTATGACGTTTTCGACAATTTAACAAATACTAATGTGTCTCAAAATGAATAAATTGAAAGATCCCACAAAAAATGTTATGTTCCCTGAAATATATCCCCCGCAGTGAAATGATTGGTGTCCGACAACATTGCGTAAAAGAATGTTTGCTCGTCCGTGTTCAAGATCTTTTTGTAACGTATGTGTCGCGCATATATTCGTGTATATTGTGTGGGCAAATGGGTATACCCACATGGGTGCCACACAGCTGTATCATGAAGTTTTTTGTTTTGTTTTTTTAGTTTTTTGGCGCCTTTTTCCACGTTGCATAACGTCATTATTGCCTAGCCGACAAGACACAGTATGGCAAACGTTGTACTTTGCGATAACTACATTGTGTAGGTCATTCAAATAAAACAACTATTTATGACGATGCGCTGCTTCGTGCAAGTACTGAACTAAATAAAAAGCTCCATGATGCAAGTAAGAAAACTGCTTTCAAAATATTGCGTGGCCCCCGTGAGCGTTGAACAGCGTGATTCAATAAGCCCCTTTGAATCGAATAATAGCGTAATGCATGACGTTAGCTTACGGATCATGCAAATTACATTTCCCATGACGCACTGGTGCAATCCCTGGGATTGTGGAGCCGCGCTTTAAATGTTTCACACCCTCGCCCCTTTTTGCAATATATCTGTGTATGTTAGAATGCATAATTGATATTGTTGTTGTTTTTGTATGACAGTAATTTATTATTATGAGTTACGTAGGGATGACAAACATTATATTGACACTTTTTGCTACGATTTCACGAACTTGTGCAAAGCAACAAAGATACGGATTTAAAGTTTTACTACATAATGTTGAAAAAAACGAGACCCGCAAAATGATAATTATACCATATTCGCACGTGTGCCACAGAGCTGGCTTGACTAACTTGGTAAGTCGTTATCAGTGGTTTTAATTGGTCCTGTGTTCGTGCTAGACTGTCGACAGCCGGTCGTACCTAATATTAATCTGTTATTATCAATAAATATTGTGTATAAACGTAATAGGCGTGAATAAATTGCGAACGCCGGGACAGGAAGTATGGAGTGTATAAAGACTAAAGGGCTCATACCACTAATTGAATTTCCATAGACGACAATGTTAACATATGACGAGATTGCTATATAAAAATGACGAAGAAAGTTGAAAATATGGCTCAAAAATGGGAAATCAACATGCCAGTAATCAACCATATGAAAAAAACTAACATGTTGGCCAGCTCAAACTCTTGCAAATCTCAGGTAAACAAGACACACCTACTGTATTTGGATTGCACCAAGAGAAATCACTGGAAAAACACCAAGATTAGAACATCCATTAACACACAGAATAAACCCACAGGTACACAGCCGCTAAGGAGTAAACAAAAGACCACATGTTGGTCTCACCTCTGACCCAGGTGATTACGCCCTCAAACAGGGAGCACCTGAGAAAAATAATATTTAAAAAATTTCATTGGTTCTTGCTGGGCAACCATTGGTTAATTAGTGGCATGAGACCTAAACTGAGCCGGCGTTGTTATTGGCCGCCATGTTTACAATGAATAAGTTCCATTCCAGAGCGAGGCTGACATTGAGGGCGTACTTTTAAGGTGCTGTTATTGTTCACACGTGCTAAAAATCCTTTTCTGTAAGTACGGGGTGCCTTTCGAGACTTAGGACCATTTTAGTCAGCATAGCGCCTGCTTACTTTGTTCATACGTGATCAACGCCGGCTTGACTATAAAGTTGTTCTTCAAACCGGGTTTTATTATACGCAATGTCTCTCTATCGACGCTTATACAAAGACCGTTAAATGATGCCATATATACTTGTAAACCTTATATTTTATGTAATATTGTTGCGCGTGTGGTAGTTTATATTTTATTAATTCATCGAGCGAATGCTCTGTTGTGTGAACACGGTTTTTACTTCTCAGGATACATCATAATCCAATGTGCTCATCCTCATCTTGATCACCACACTGTGTCAAACTTTATTAAAATTATTACAAGTTGTTGTACGCCCGACGCGCATATAAAGAGTGGTGGTCGTCGCTTCGAGCATGCGCGAAATATGGGTCTCATATGAACAAAGATGGCGGCTTTGACTGTTGCGCTGACCAACGAGAAGAAACTGAGATTCTAGCTATATGTAATTTCTTTGGTGAATGGAAGATATCAAAATGGGTCATCGACGTCGCACCCAGGTTAAAAATCATGATTTCTATTGAAGATTTTTAAAATCGGTACATGTCCCTTTAACAATCCCACTAGATTAGATAAATAAACACGACGTTTTTTTTCAATTATCACAAATACAGTTGTTTAGGATATTACACTGACGATGTCCATTGCATCGTTGTTGCGACTGTTACTAACTCTCTCACTTCGTACCTGTTTATAACATATTCTGCTGCATCTAAGTAGTTTATGAATATACCTTTTCGTGCATCTATCCGAGAATCCGAAAATGCACGGATTCAACGCACACGTACTAAAGGCAAGCCACGTTGCAACCGTGTCCACCGTGCGTGGGACGTATCCTCCGAAACTGTGAACATTATAAATGACGTAATACGGCAACCAGCATAACAAAAATGTGAACATTATGAAAAATAACGTCCGCGTTGTTTTGAAGTCCCGGTTGTTTGTAATTTTGACAGAGCGTAACCCTGGTCCCAGACTTCCCAGCACAATTGGTTTTCTAGAATGACGATACGCGACGCACGCAATGTTTACATAAGACCAGATAAAAACGCAAATCGGTAATGCACCTGTCAGTACGCCAAGCACCATCGTGTATCCTTCTTCTGTTTCTTCCAAATTGCACACAATCGTGCACGTAGCTTTAGCAATTAAAAAATCATATGTGCCCCATCCAAGGAGTGGCGGGAAGGCGATCACGACACAGCTGATCCAAATCATGGCGATTGGGATGCTGCCACTCTTGTTTTCAAAGTAACGTTGGTAACGGAACGGGAAGCGAATGATGAAGTAACGATTGAATGACACAATAGTTAGGGTGAAGATATTTACAGATACAAATACAACATTCAGGTAGCCAACGAGCTGGCACACTGTGTCTCCAAACACCCATTGCTGCGAAGCGGCAGACGCAATCATAAACGGTATGAGAAAAATGGTGATAGCTGAAGAAAAAAAGGAGATCGTCATTAGGTGACAGTTAAACAGTTACTTTTGGTGTCAGTTTCTATGCTAGTAAAATTCCACTCAGAACTAAAAAAGAATATGTTTACTTTTTATAGTGTGAGACGGGCTTTGCGTCACACTGGTGTGTTACATTTCCGGAGTTGTGCCGCGTATGGGAGTTATTTCAAAAAAATCAAAATAAATATAATGAATTAATCAGTGTTTATTATTTTTCCCAAATTGTGCTCGAAAAATAAGCAATTTTAAATTTATCCTACATAAAGTTCCACTTGTGACGGAGTTTGAAAAAGTTACAAAAGTGAGAATGAAAACAAGTCAATCGAAAACAAAGGGATTCGATACGTGAATATATTCACATACAACAATAAAACCTTCTTACCTAAATCGCAAACCACCATATTAAACAACAGGTGGTGTGATTTTGGAGAACCCGTATTAAGTCCATTTTTGTAGAAAACTACACATAACACCCCATTAAATATAATCGATACAATAAAGATCAGCGCTATTGTCACAGTCTGGCCAATTACGTGACCTGATGATATGACGTCATCGTCGTTGGAATCTGTCATTGAATTTACCATCAGCGACGTGTGGCCGTAATATGACGTGTTGCATTTCTGCTCAGTTAACGTATTCATTTCCAGCGACGTACGAGTTGTGCGTATCAATCCGGGTAAATTACAGAGCGTTCCTAACGCCAAACAGTAGTCATTTTCATAACATGCGATGTGGCTTCTCTGTAGTGAGTTATACACAAACAATGGGATGCAAATGGCAGTCTGTAAGCTGCAACTGATCACGGATTAAACGACTACTGCAGAACATGATGATTGCCGCGGTATATATACTCCATACACAAAGTCCGTTACTCTTTAATACAAGCTTATATAATAACAGTCAGTTGCTATGGTGATCACCCATCCTCATCTATGATACGTGGGAATTGTTTCCCCGTTTGATCGATCATATTTCACCTTCGTTGCCAGGTTATGATCACATTATCTTCACCAGATAGAAATGCGAAAATACATCAACCCTTATTTTGTTTCTGTATAATCGGTAAAAATTTGAGAAATCAGAAATTTTACATTGGAATAAGAAGAGTAGACCGGGAGACAGTGGTTCTTATCTTCATCAATGCATCGTTGTCAAGGCGGAGGGCGCTAATCACGATGCGCAGGCTAAACACATTTATGATACAGGAGTATTTTAGAGTTGAATCAAATTTCGTTATTATTATGTGCCTTGTCCTTTACCCCAAAATATGAGTGAATAAATAAAAGCTGTATCCCTCGGTAAACATTTGCCGATATTTAGTCCAACGATCTTGTATGGTCGCAATGCATTCTGGGAGAGTAAGTAACGTATTCCCCAGGTGAGTACGTGTTTGTTGTGGCAATATAGGTGTGACATACTTAACCTATTCAACCGACAAACCGACGACCAAGGAATTCGTGTCCGCGATTCGAATTTTGCGAGAAAAAAAACTATACATTTAGTACCTATTCATATTTGTACAGCTGTCGTAGCCAGTAACTACGAAACTGCACTACATTATTTAAATGGATATACTATTTTTATCATCTTAGCCTATATCAAATTATCTTTGTACGTGAGTGAGTGAGTGATAGTACAGCTGGTGACAAGCAAACGAAACTGTGCATGCGTGGTTCTATTTTTTTTCTCGCCCCAGGTGCATAACGCAGGTTTATTTTTTCATACGCAACTTGAAATCAGTGTGAACTTGAAATGGCAGCAAGCTTGAATCTGATCAAGGTCGTGTTCACTTGACTCGGGGAATGTTGTCTTTGTTGTTTATTTGTCTTTAAAGACTGGATAATTCTATGTTATTTTGTTATTTGTATGATACCTTTTGGTCAGAGAATGTGTACTCCCTCGTATATTGGATGTGATGTCACGTGGGGCAATGACATCATCATTAGTGATAGACAACAGTTGATAGTACCACGCTTTTCAGATCATCACAATGAATGAACGAACGAATGAATGAATGAATGAATATTGACGTTCGATTGGTCAAAATGAAACAGACTTAAATAGCGCCTAATATTTGAGTATATGTGCCACTTTGGGCAGAATTTTGAAATGTTACTAAACTCTTAATATAAACAAAGTCAATCGATCACATCGACACCTTGGCGACTTGATAAGTGCGATTTATATCATTTCAATATATTATTTTTCGTTGACTGTGAGATCCCACGTTATACGTGGAATCGAACACAAAAACAGGTCAAACAAAGATCACAGCGCCGTAATGACGTCAAAACTTCGCATGAGATTCGGATTTGGTGGTATTTTAACGCGATATAGACACATTTGATGATGGCCAATTTTGATAAAGTCAGGATATCTCAACCAAATATTCCCCTCTTAAAAATCAGCATTTGGACATTGAACTATAAAAAATAATATATTCATTGAATACAAAATCAAATCTCTCGATTTTGCGGCAAACGTTTGGTTTCCTTAGTAGAAGGACGTATTGTATTTGTGTTCGAACACTATTTCTGAAAGTTTTTAATATAAGTAGCGCCATCATCGACAGCTACACTCTATTTCAAGTTAAAGCGATGAGGGCGTAACTAGCGCCGCCAGTCTTGTTCGTTTCTGACCAACTCATACTTCGTGTCAGGTTATTGCGGCGTGAATACCAATTTAAATCAAATTTGAATACAGTTAACAAACATTATTCATATTGCCTCAGTACATCGTCACTTCCAGCCTAGTTTGTTTTAGAGAAAGTTAAATACAATATTCAACAATCTAAAAAGTATACACATTGCGTAAACAGTACAGGGCGCCTCACTTAATAACTTAATAATAGCAATAATTACTTGACAATCAGTAGCGAAAACATTAATCTACATTGGTTGTGCAATCAATCGCCTGGAAACGCCTACTAACGGCATGTTTGTCCATTTCTAAGGGATGTCAAGATAATTACAATCACCATGCCTCGCATTCTTCCAGTCTATCCGTCGGGTTGTGTTTTATTTACTTACTATATTCAATGATATTGTTCTGGACGTTCAAGTTACAATACTCATACGAAAAACGAAACACTTAACTGGACGATCTACACTAATTATAATTAAAACAGAGCTTCGAATTGTATCCACAAACGTCACAGAGAAATATTTTCAATTAATGTCTTATTAAATTCATAGATGCAAAACGCAACAGCTCTGCGCAATAACTATTTACAATAACATTCACCGATGATTTGTGGCTGCTAAGCAATCTAAATTCACCATTTCTCCTGAAACTAAACCAAACCAAAGCGTTATATATGAATACGCGGCGAATACCCACAAAAAAGACGTTGTCCTCAGTACAGCGCTGATACAATACGCACCAAGATACGGCATAGTGCTCTAGTACCTCTCCCATCAAGAAATCCGATGGATTGGTTTCATTACTTTGTCACCGAATAATCACTGCAGTATTTTAGGTGTAGTTGCGGTAAGGTATATTGTACTTGTTTTATTCCGATGACATTCATAACCAGCGCGTCTTTTCAGCACGCTAATAATACACTGTACGCTATCCATGACCAATGTGTGTATTGCTACGGTAAGCTCAATGTACGGTGAAGGGACACTAGAAAAGACGATTTCATACTCCGTCGCAGCTTAATAAAACTTCGCCAATTAGCGCTGGAATTGTTGACTTATAGATTGTCTGATGACATGGTACCTAACATTCGCACGAGTGATCGCATGGCATATCAATGCAGGGAATTGTATAGAAATAGTCTATTATGATCTTGGTCTAACCATGGCCTATCTTGTTTATTGTTAGAATATTAATCCACTAAAAACATGTAAACAAAATCCGGAATATTTCATTTCATTCGCTGGAGTATCGAAGATGTTAAGGGCCAATACCAATCGTATTCATCAAGGGGAAACCCGTGATTCTATTAATGTCAACAATAACCAGGAATATTTAATTTCATTCGCCGGAGTATCGAAGAAGTTATTGGCCAACACCAATCGTATTCATCAAGGGGAAACCTGTGATTTTTTTCAATTGATTCTATATGTCAATATCTGTAATAAAGACATTTTGTCATAATACCGAATGTTGCCAAGGACACGGAGATAGCAATGGGTAGCATTACCTTATAAGGACGAAAACGAATTTTGTTTGTGAAATTCTGTCACTTTTAATTAATACACTATCGTCTTTAATTTTGCATACTAGTCAGTATTTTGATTGAAAATGTTTTAGTTGTTTAAAAAAAAGGATTCAAGTTCGATAGTACAGTTAAAAGTTAATTGGCAAATAACCTCGATGAACAGAATTATGAAGCTCATCAGTTTACTAGTCATATCTCTAGTAATGACGGAGAAGTGTTGAGACACAAATTTCATGAAAACAACTAAAATCAAATTGGTAAACAAGAAACACACAATTTTTTTATCCTTGAAGAAGTTTTATACTTTTAATTAAAACTGGTGGCATTATAACGCTTAAAAAAACAATATCTGTAAAAAATCAGATCTAAAATATGTATTGTTATTTACTGTTAGTATTGCGAGAATGGTCAAGTTCCTTCCGATATATATTCTAATTGGCCTCTGTACCTTGAATAAATAAATATATACTAATTGTGTGTGTATCTTTCTAGTAATTGCATTTTCATTTGTTTCTATTACAATGCCATGGAATTAAATGAACTGCAAACAATATGATTCAAGGCGAGACGACAAAAACTAAAGCGGAACGTTCCCAGTCAAGGAGATGGTAATAAAGTACACATCGCGACTATACCGGTCTTGGTGATACAACTGGCGTGAGAACATAACATTCCTAAGTTGCCACGACAAAACTAATAAATCACAACAAAGGACATTCTTTATTTAAGATGATGCTAAGGACAGCGACTTCATGATTCCACCTTCGCTGTCCAATAACCTCGATCGCACCGACCTTCGGCATTACCATCCAAGCGCAAGTCCGTTGCTACTAGCAACATGTTAACTTGCCACAAGTCATATTATGATCACTTCATCGTGGTGTACCGGTATATCGTCTTATTAGACGTACTCTTCTTTAGTACGCAACTGCGAATACATTCACAATGTGCGGTTACTATGGTCACACGTCATGTGTATTCTTACTGTGGTGTACTTCAAATTGAAATGCTATTCGTATTCTTGATTACAGATAAAAATAGTTTAAGCATGTTTTATTATGTATCAATATGTTTTCCAATAAATCACAATGGCCATTTCTAACTTTTTAGGAATATAATTAATATCCTGTCAGTCACATGGTATATAAATAATAAACTCTCAGTCACCACACAAACATTTATCACAGCAATAGACCGACGCTGAGAAGGTCCCAACACTAACAAAGTGGA